GTCGTTATTTAAAATAAATCAACTTCAGGGCCGTTGCGGCAGCACTAAAACGTGTCCGATCGGTCTCCGAAAAAAATAGATTTTTTTTTTCATCGAAAGAAACAAAGTCTGACCCTAAGACCTTTAAATATCTAAAAAGTGATTTTTAAGTGCCAGTCTACTGGGCAGTGTGTGTGTGTGTAGCGGGAGGAGGTGAGGCGGCAGTTTGGGAGGGGTGGTGGGAGAGGTAAGTGTGAGTCGTATCGTAAGGTATGAGGGGGAAGAGTAAAATAGGGCACTGACCCCTGCCACGCCTAAAATCATATCGTAAATGATGTTTTATTTTAATTTTTAAATCCAGGGGTTTGCTTTCACATTATAAGCTCTCTGAACTCCAAAACTAGACAAGTGTCACTACGATGTTTTAATTGCGAGTAAAAATGTGTCCGGTGTCCGGTCGGCCCAAAAGCCCGGCCAAAAAAATAAAAGGGATCAGCCGCTTCCAACCACAACAGTGCTCAGGACATACTTCCGGTTGTTGGACTTACAGGTGTCGCAAGGTAAGCAAGACTGAATCCCAGATTCCAAGGCTTTTACCTTCTAGAAGACTTTTATCGCTTTTATTCCGTCCCGAGGGGTACGCGGGTATCGAACCCACAACCCCGTGTGCCGAATCTAATCGTCAGTAACAGCGACCCTCATGCAACCAAAACTACCAAGCCAACGGAGGTGAGCCGTGTTCCGATTTTACTTGAACTTCAGGTCGGCCCTGAGCCGTACACCAACGCCTCATAGAAAAGCGAAAAAAACAGAGTCGAACCGCTGACCTCCCACATTCTGGGCTAGTGCTCTACCGACTTTTTTTAAAAAAACACTTTTATTCAACAGGAAAAATTGTACAATAAGGTGTTATAATTGTAGTGTTAAAGATTAAAATAAAAGCTAAAGAGCTTTAAGAAAAACTGTCAAATATGTAAATTCGTTTGATATTGAACCGGCATGACTGAACCATAGAGGCGACATGCTGGCCGTCGCTCCAAGGAACAAGTCATTCTACGCAGTCACTGACGGCCAAAATAAAAACGCGCATTTAAATTAAAATAAGCTGATATTTTCTTTCGAATAAGAGAAGAATCTTATTCCAAAGACAATATTGCCTTGTTTCAATTGTGAGTTCATCTTGTGCCAGCCTGCACTTGAATCGAGGAACTATTTTTCTTGGTACAGAGAACAGTGTGTATTTGATTGTTCGAGTTGGTTGAGTCAATGGCAATGTACCTATATCAAGAACACGCTATTTTTGGAAAGTGGGATTGCTACGAGAGTCACGTCACGCAACTTCGTCAAATATCGCCCACTAGATATTACGATGTCAGAGGATTTCGTTGATGGGTAGGCGTAGGCCTACTGGGTGGTCATTTTGCCCCGTTGGAGCAATTGGGTAATATGCTAGCCTGCACCTGGATCTAGGAATGCGGTCCGTTTTCCTATTCGTACGAGACTCTATAAGTGTGCGCGCGCTGTTGTAAGACTCAATAAGGGCTCGTTTCGAAAGTATGTCTGTTTTTTCCAGATTCGTTCATATTATGGGAGCTCGGCGCCTGCGAGACTCGGGGTAGGCCACCCCGCAGTACACGCATGCACTGCAGGTGGGATGTTGCCTACCCCCCAGGCGCTATACAGCGCATCATGGTGAGACCTTGCATTTGTTAAACTTGGCAGGTTCGTCACGGCGAATGACGGGCGTACTTTCTGGATGATCCCCCTAAGCAACTTAACCTTGTGGCTAAGCGGGCTAACGCATACGCAGCAAAACGCTCACCCTGTGTTGGAAATGTGTGTGCTCCTCGGGATGTTGCATTTGTTGAGTGCAGTTAAGTTGACCATCTATCAGTGGATTAGAAAGGGGGAAACAAACACACGACACTTTTGGTTGGAACGATGGAGTTTATTGCATAATGTTGTTAATACACTAGTGGTCTCTCTGTAGCTGTCCCGGCCACCTTTCTCCCACACACACATACCCTCTCACTCTCTCTTGCACGCCGCTCCCCCCTCTGTTCAGTCGTCCGCCTTGCCCAGCAGCATGTCCAGCAGCTTGCCGCAGTCGATGCGCTTGCCCTTGTCGTCAAAGTAGAATGCCTCGTAGGCGTCCTTGACCTCCTTCAGCGTGAATTTGTCGCACCATGTCATGAGCCAGTGCTTGAGGCTGAAAAGAGCGTGAGATACAATACATTAGTACAGCAGTCGAAACAATACCGAAACGCTATCGAAATGAAATCGAAAAGGTTGAAACGTCATCATTCTGACATTTATTTCTCAACGGGAACAGCAACTCACTTGTCGGCGTCGATCCAGCCGTCGGGGTCCGAGAAGCACACGAAAGCCTGGATCACCGTATCGTCATCGTCATCCTGGGTGCCGGCGCCCGCTGCAAAAAAAGAGAGAGCTCGTCGTCAACAAACCGCAGTAAAAAGAAAAACACCAATAGCCTGAGTACATAGACGGTCAGAGTCATACAATCAAAGTCAACAAAACCAACACCCAGCTACGTTACGTCTTGCTATCTGAAACAGACGCCGCGCCGAGACAGCCGCTCGAGCAGCACTGTCCCTGAAGAGACGCCCGAGCAAGAGAAATAGTGAATCACTTGGGACGACCCTCGCGCCCCCCGACACAAGTCAAGTTTTATCTCTTGCAAATACGTCAGCCGCACTGCGGCGTGGGGCACGTCCGACAACGGCACGTCTAACGGCTCGTCTAACGGCACGTCTATCGATCGCCTTGTCTGGCAGACGCCCCTAACCCAACCCGCTGAGGCATCTGCACCTCGAAAATCCTTTTATCGACGGATCGCTTCCTGATCGCCAACCCTCGCCCTTCCCTCCCCCTTTCTCCCGGCCAGTGCAGCAGAAGCAACGGGGCCGTCAAGAGTACTGTCCAGGGCGAAAAGAATAAGGTGAGGGCGATAGGAAAACTTTTCTCTTTCAGGTCGGGATTTGAACCCTGGGATAACGGAACTCACACGACTGCTGCTTGTTGGCGAACAGCATGAGGAACTGCGTGAAGGTGCAGGGCAGTTGCTCGCCCTCGTCCGTCTCCGGGATCTCGGCCAGCATCTCGTCCAGCTCCTTCTCGGACACGATCTTGCCCACCATGTCGAAGGTGGCGCGCAGGTCGTTCTTGCCCAGGACGCCGTCCTTGTCCAGGTCCATCAGCGCGAACGCCTGGAACATGCGGCGCACAAAATGCGATAGGGTGCGGTACGAGGGGCGGCACGAGGGGCGGCACGAGGTGCGGCACCGTACGGGCCGCGCTGCGGTATGAGGACCTGTGACGGACGGCGGCACCTCTCCATATCGAGGGGGAGCAGCCACCATGACAGTTTCTCAAACCGACCGTCGACTAGAAGGGCGAAGGGCCGCTCGTCCTTCTTGTCGGGCGGGCCTCAGTGGAGCACCCCATCCAAGGGGACGACCTCCCTGCGGCGTGGGCGCGGCAGTGTGCAGGGTAGCGCCGCGCGCGCACCGCCGCCCCAGCAGAAAGCTAGCTCCAGCAATCAGCCTTCAGCAATAATTACCTCCTTATATTCTGCCACTTGGCTGTTGGTAAAAAGCGAAAAGACATCGGAGCCGGCGCGGGAGCTGCGTCGCTTCTTGGACGAGGTCTTGGACGAGGGCCTCTTGATTGGTTCCGGTTCTGCGGGCGCCGCTGGCTCCGCGGGGGCGGCTGCCGGGGGAGGGGTCTTCTCCTTCTGGGAATCTCCCTTTGCCTTCTTCTTCTTCTTCTTGTCGGTTTTTTCAGACTGCGCCCCGGACGAAACAGAGAGACAGAAACAGAGGCGTTAACAGAAAGTGTGCGTGTGAGAGACGGAGAGAGAGAGAGAGAGAAAGAGACAGAGAGCTGGGACGAAGACAAAAACCGGGAACCGTCCTCTCCCCGACCTTCAGACAAGGCGATCAGGCCGCGAGAAAACGAACTACTCCAATAAAGGCGCAACGCGACTTCAATCGCACCCTCTCCCCTACCCGGGCGCCCAGCCGGCGCTGCCGTGCAGGCCCCCACGGCCATGGCCACCACCCGTCCGGTTCGGTTCTATGATCCGAACAACGCGTCGCGTCCGGCCGGAGGGCCTCCTAAAGGGGACCTCCTAAAGGGGACCTCCTAGAGAGGGCATCGCGTGTTGGTGTAATCCCCGGTCGGCTGGTCCCCGCCTCGCACGGGCAGTGCAGCATATTGCAGATTTGATGACGCATCACGTTCGACCTGCTGCTGCCCGCCTAGGTCGTCTCCCCCCCCCCCCCCCCCTTCTGCCCCGACGCCTGTCTTGAGAGGCCGCGACGGTAGCAGCAGCGGCCCCATCACATTCAGGCCGATCTAAACATAGCCCCGTTCCCCACCCCAAACCCCTACCCGCGCACCCCCTCTCCCCTCTCCTCCTTTTCTACACTGCTGACCCGTTAAGCGTATGCGCTGAGCACAGTACGCCCCCCGCCAGCGGGCGCTTCCTAGTTGTTGTCAGGCCCGAATGTCTGGCAAAGGTCACAAACCTAACCCTCTCGCGCCGCAAACGGGACTGCCTCGGCTTGGTCGGGGGAGGGCGGCACCTCGGCGGCGGGAAGCCGTCCGGCTGGCTGACCACGGGGGGCCGAGTGACTTCCAGCGGGGCCGCCTCCCTCCAGCGAGTTCTCGCCCACGCCCGCCCCACCTCCACCCCTCTCCCCCGCGAGCCACCCAGCTCCAGCTGTAAGGACTCTCAATGCTGGCCCCTCACTGCGCCCCGGCGCGCGCACCGTGCCCACCGGGCTGTCTCCAGGGCCGCACCCAAGGACCGTGCCCACCCTGCCCAGAAGCCTTGCCCACCCTGCCCACACGGAGAGAAAAGATTTGCTGCCACAGCTGTTTAATTGCTGCGGTAGCAATTTTTGGCTGCTAACATAGCGCCTACAACATTTCTAGCTGTGCCAGCAAACTTAAATTGCTGAATGTTGCTTTGCTGATGCAGCAACGGAATTTGCTGGTGTTACAATCCCAGTCAGACGCGTATGGAATAGCAATCGCCGGAGTTGCTCTGTCAGCAATCTATATTGAAGCAATGGGTGCAAGCTGATCTGCTGTGGTATTAATATTGCCCCCCCCCCTCCCCGCCCCCCATATTGAATATTGATATGGTAGAAATGAAAAGGTCGTATTTCATATATTGTTTCCCTTTATTTCGCTATAAACATATGACGTGACACATGACAATAGTTAAAAAATATCGTTCAAATTCAATAAATTTTGGTGACATAACCTAGCCGTTTATCAGAATCCAACACGGACGAATCTTGGACAACCACTTTGTTGTCGTATGTTGTTTCTTCAAAACTCTCAAAAGTGATCAAAAATGAAAACAACACTTTACCATTAAAATAAAGCAATGTTCATAGAGTTCATATGGCCAGGGAGAAA